GCTGTCGGTAAGGTTTATTTTATGCATATTTATTCATGGCTACGTAAAAATCTCTGATGTCCAATTTTAAAAAAACATTTAACGCTTGTCTGATTTTTCACACTTCATCTGGAATAATACTTATTAAACATCCAATTTATCGTGTACAATACGCTTTCAAAATAATTTTAAGAATGTTATATGCTTGAGAACAGATCAAAACATATTTAGCAGATTTTTTTCAAAGCTCCAGTTATATCTTCCAGGCCAAAGTGAAAGAGAAGATGCTAGCGCTCCTGTCCTTATTTCGTCTGCTCGTCCTGAGATCTTGAGTAACACTCAAATCATCCAACATCAGGTCAGCTTTGGAGCTCGGGTAAAAGAACCTTCAAAAAAGGATTAAAGAATGTTCTTCAGATCTGTACGGATGGATGGATACGACGAGGAGAATCTTGTTACCATATTGAAATGGAAAAGATGGATTTTATCTCGGCCAAAATGAGGTGTAGAGATGAGAATGCCACGATATTTAAGGCTGATAGCTTGGATGAATGGGTAACGATATATGGTTTGAAGTAGTAATAGTATCAGATTACATTTACCTAAGATTATAATTTGAATAGTACTTCATTTGAAGTCACTTTTGGGAAAAGATTGAAAATTGTCTAAGTTAAAAAAAACTTTTTTTTCGATTAATATAACTTTGAAATCACCAAGACTCTACTTTTTTACGCAAAAATTTGATTGACAAGTTTAAAATCTTTCTAGAGCGAAATTATGAAGCTCACTCCACACTACTGGACATGGATCGGCTTGGTACAAGAATATAACGAAACCAAACTGTATGGAGTGGTAGATCTAGCTAATGTGTGAGTGAATATTCAATTCATCGTACAGATTAGTATACTTTTTATGTCGCTTTCTAGAAACTGGCTGATGAAACCATTCTCGCCAACATCGAATGGTTGGTCACCCACGTCGAAATGTGCCGCTTATCATAATAGAAACTATGTAGCACTAAACTATGTGCACTTTTATCCTTGTAATAACCAGTACCACTCAATTTGTAAGAAAAATATTGGATTCCATGTTTAAAGCTTCTGAAAATTTCCCTCATGCT